GCAGAAAATCCTACTCGGCAGGCAGGGTGGGGGAGGCACTGCGGAGTGGTGGGGGGCGGCCCAAGGGGCTGGGAGAGTGTCCGGCCCACTCTGCGCCTGGGCTGGGACTGGTCCCGCTCACGCAGGGTAGCAGGAAGCTCTCCGCACGCTCACCGGACCTGGGCTAGGACTGGGTCTAGGGGCTCCCGGAACTCGGCAGAAAATCCTACTGGGCGGGCGGGGTGGGGGAGGCACTGCGGAGTGGTGGGGGGCGGCCCAAGGGGCAGGGAGAGGGTCCGGCCCACTCTGCGCCTGGGCTGGGACTGGTCCCGCCGGCACAGGGTAGCAGGAAGCTCCTATACTCTTTAAAAATTAAAAAAATTTTAAAAAAAGATAGACACTCAAACAAGTTTATTTTAAATTGGACCCTTGACTTACAAATTCAGTTCATTCTCAATGGCTGTTTGTAATTCAAGTTGATTGTAAATCACAACGAATTTTCCCATAAATAATGGAAATATCTATAATATGTTCCAAACCTCCTGTAACACCACTTAAACAAACTTTTCATATCAAAAAAGGGTTGCATAATGTGTGTAATTTACCAGCAACACCAATAATTTCCCTAGCATATTCACCACAAAGTTATAAAATGTGCCTAGTGTACCAGAGACAGCAGTTCCGTGCTATACTCACCAGACGAGCTGACATCTTTGGCTTGCAGGAAGACAGGATGGAATGCAAGGTGGTTACTGTTCAAAGGAGTACATAAGGACATCAGGAATCTAGCTCCCCAGTGTTCTTTCTCTCCTTGGGAGAGTCTGTAGCCCTCCAGGCCCTGCTTCTGGCTCACCAGGTTGTAACCTTTTCAGAACTAAAAACTGGTCTAAGGTTGTCTACTTTTGTCTTTTCTTTAATGCTGTTTTGTAATATGACATGACACTGTCATTAAATAAGTGAATGCAACAATTGGCTTTTTGTCTCTCTGGGTTGGTCTTATCTACAAATGTCTATAGATCTGTCCATTTTTTAAAAATCTCATGGGTGAGCAGGAGCACTGTCCATGATGAGGAAAGCCTTGAGTGATAAGCCTTTGTCTTCTAGGTATTTCTTAAAAGTAGGAAAGGAAGCCTCCCTGATCCACTCAAGAAAAAGTACTCTTGTTATCCAAGTTTTTCCACTAGAACTACACAGGATCCCAGCCTATTCTTCATAACTTTGTCTTGTATACACTCTGAGGGTCTCAGAGTGATAAACCAAGAAAGGATTTATCTTGAGATCACCACTTGCATTGGCACATAGCAATAAGGTTAGCCTATCTTTCATAGGCCTAGGGTCTGGCACGATCTTCTCTTCCTGGATAATGTATCCTTTCCTGGGCATTTTCTTCCCGAAATGGCCAGTTTCATCACAACTGAAAACTTGATGAGAGCAAAAGCCATTTCTCTGTGTCATCATTTCCAAGTGGTATACTGCAATTTTCAGCAGCCCTTTTATCAGCACTGGCAGTTACACCATACCGAGTTACACAATAAATCCCAGTTCTCACTTTAAAATTCTAAAATCATCCATTACTGGGAAGAAATATTTCATCATCATCATCACTCATTGATGGATTATCTTTTACAAGATCTGCATTTATAGCCCTAGCTTTTTCACAATTACAGACTCAGAGAGGCTATAACCTGCTGTCTTCTTTTCATTTATCCACACCACCAACAGCAGCTCCTCTTCCTCATGTAACAGTGTTGACCATGACTTTAGCAACACAAGCTTCCTTATACAAATCTTTTCTGTGTATGAGTGTCAAGATGGTAGATTTCAACATGCTGTACATATTAGCACAACTGGTCATACAAATACCACCCTCATATTTCTCTCCAATTTCCTTCATTTTGATTATGATTGCTTTCCTTACCTTCCCTTCCTTCCTTGGCTTCTTTTCTTAGCTTTTTGGAGGCCATTTGTATTCCAGTAATTATAGCAATTTTATAAAGAACTGGCCAAAATCACATCCACAAACATGCACATCTGAGCTCAGACTGATACTTATGCATGCCTACATATGATTTTCTAGCTTCTAGAGTCTTTGTTTACAACCACACAAGGGCCAGTACTTGCGTTATAATTCAAGGCTTTGGTCATAAGTTAAACCTAAAATTTCAATTGTAACTCTAGTTGTTCATATGTGATGCCCATTGTCACTCAAGGGTCCAATGTACATGTTTGCAATACATAATTACTGAATTCATTGTTGGGGAACTGATACATAATTTTTTGGAACCAGGAATCAAACTCAGGACCTTGATACATGTATATAACATACCTCAATTCTTTTTTTTCCTCTTCCCTTCCACCCCTTTTTTAAAAAGTATTTTTCCAGCATCAATTTCTTTCATTTATTTTACAAGTCTCTAAAGTTAATTATCATGAGCAAAAATTATCAATACAGAATCAATAATGAAACTTTCTATAAGAAAATACAACTTTTGAGAAAGACAAATTCCAAATTGATGTATCATATTAACATCTATATTTCATTTTAGAAAAAATTTCTATGGACATAGGAAATAAAACTAGAATAAAACCTTATCTAAAGTGAACTTCTACCTTTAATTCTATAATAAAATTCTACAATATAACAAATGTTAGATCAAAGTTATCATGACTCTTTAATTGAGAAGAGATTCAAAAATCAGAAAGCATACCCAACACAAAGCTACCCCCATTCAACTCAGAAAATTTCCTTATATGGTTTTTAAGATGTTTATGTCTTAAAAATGATTCCCAGAAGCACAGTCCACTTACATCAGTACCATAACAACATACTGATTATAGGACTACATATAATCTTGTATGTAGTATTATGTAATTATATATTTCATAATTTACTGATTATATGTAAAAGGATTATATAATTTTCAAAGATACAATCAAAGCATTCATTATTTTTATCTTTTCTACAAATTTAAAAGGTAAATGATAACTGCAAATAATAAAACAATGAATAGCACAGATGTAAAACTATAATATTTCCATAAGAGTTTTAGTGGGCAAATATAAAAGCCTACTAATTCATAAAATAAGTAGGCTGTACTATTATATTATACAAAATATAATAATGAAGAACAGACTGATTCTAGAGACTTCAAGATAGCAATACTTTAACCCACAACCCTAATACTCTTAAAGAACATTACTGTAAAAATTATTTCAATATTTTATTAACACGAACCTGTTGCAATTCTTGTATTTTTGCATCTTTCACTTGTAAAATTTCTAGAACTTTTCTGTCTTTAGCTTCAGATTTCTGTTTTTCTCTAGAAACAATTAGACAGTTTATTAGTCATAATTGCCACCTAATCCTTTGAATGTTAATATCCCAATAATGAATATAACTTTAAAATGCTGATAATTAAATCTTCGGTTGACAGACCTTTCAGAATCAATCACAAACCATATGGTAAGTGATGGCAATTTATAATGACAACCAAGACAACTTTATACTAAAATAACAGTTAAGTTTATAGATTGAGACATATGATTTTAATGTATAATACAACTTAGCCCTGATTCCAATGACCTAGAATTCCATTACTTTTAACATAATTAAGAAATACCTTCTTAATATAAACTATTTATAAATAATATTAACTATAGACTATCACTATTTCTTAAGTAATAGTTTCAATAATAAGAGGTTCAGAGCTCCATTAGTAAACAATATTGTATAACTACAACTTTGGATTGCTCCCACCTTCCCACACATTTCTAGTCATTGAGAACACTACTAACTAAATGGCAAGAGAGTTATACCTCCAAAGCACAGGTTTCCGGTAAAGTCATAACATGTAAAACACAACTACCTTCTAAAAATAAATATAATTTTAAAGAAGAAAGAAGGGAAAAGAACAAAAGTCTGAAGCAGTTACATCCAGAATTGACACTGGTTAATTTATATCATAAATGGGGAGAAATTAACTAGAAAAAGATTCACAGATGTAAAACATTTTAAATAGGTAAAAAATAACAATGTGTGTCTAAATCAGCTGTGTGTCACAGAATTTATAGATAAGGAAGAGATAAGGAATCTTCCCTTAAAGAAAAATGCAGAAAATGCCTCAGGAAACACAAAAGGAGTATCAGGAGAAACACCAATCATAAAAGCATACAACTGGTTATAAGAGATAAGGTCAGGAGGGATAACAGTTTATAAAAACATTTAAATTCTAATAAATTAGCATAAGTTCACATTTGAGGTTCTCTCTTCTCTAAATATATAATATTAATAGAAAATATATAAGAAACATAGCTTTCTCTGTGAGTCACAAATGAGGCAGAAATATAAAGAATAGAATGCTATTTGTTATTCTTTAGGTCCAGCCATAGGCTAAGGTAGAAAGGCAAAAAGGAGCTTGGCTTCAGAGATATTGGGAATAAAAGTACCTTGTTCATATGTAGAACGCCAGGGTCACTGTTTAAAGCCAAGACTAGGGTGAGGATTCTAGCTTATAAAGGAGATTGGTAAAAGTTTCTACCTACCCTTGCTAGAAACTAAGGATTATATCAAAGTGTTTACAATGGCAGAAGTTTACAGATATCATGCCCCAATCAGAAATTGTAATATAAAGCTGGGCATGGTGGCATGCCTATATCCCCAGTAATAGGAAGGCTCAGAAAAACACCACGAGTTCAAGGCCAGTCTGGGCTACTTAGCGACTTTAAGATTTCAAGGCCAGCTTGCCAAAAAAAGAAAGAAAGAAAGAAAGAAAGAAAGAAAGAAAGAAAGAAAGAAAGAAAGAAAGAAAAAGGATTATAACACTCTACAGCTGAGGTATTACATATACCACCTCAACTCACTTTTGGCAAAGTGCCCCAAATTACACACATAAAACATTTCAGGAACAAAGATGGGTTGATACTGACCAATCAGTGCCAATCCTAAAATTTAGAGAAAAAAATGCATTAGACAAAGAAGATTCATGAAGAGGAAGAGAACAACAACCTTAGAAACCTTACCTCTCTAGATGTGACAACAATGAAAATAATCTAAAACATAAGAACTCACATACACCAACACATGACCTCAACAATCAGAAGGGGCAATTCTCTGAACAAAATGAAAGTAACAACATACTGAAAAAGTAACTTTTAAAATAAGTTAAAAGTGCTTAAAAACAAAAAAATAAATACTAAAAGGACAAATAAATCAGTCAGATGCATGTAAACAATTATTAGAAGGCTTAAATTTGTTTTATAATCACTGAAGCACAACCTAAAACTAGACAAAGATAATTAATGAAATAAAAGTACTAATGAGATATTCATATACTACACTGCACAGAAAATAATGAGCTTTAAAATATGACGGCACAGTTGAGACATACAGGTTTTACTCAGAAATTCTAAGATATCCTAAACATTCCAGAAATAAAAATAACAAGATAAAAGATAAAGCAATATTTTCAGAAGAAATTGCTAGAATGGTTTAGAATTAAACTGTCCTCAGATTGGGAGTATACTTACTAGAATAATAAAAAGGACAGCACACTTCATACATTAATCCATGGTTCATTTAACACATGCTATTTATTGAGCACTTACTAAGGTAGGTATTGCCCTTGATACTAGAGATAAGGTAGTAAAAAAATATAAAACAAAGGGGCCAGCCAGATAGCTCAGTGGACTACAGTGCCTGCTTAGGCAGAGCTTAGTGGCTGGTGGTTCCATCAGGGGCATGCCACACCAGCCCTGCCCCTAGGGCATGCTGAGAGGACAGGGTGTGGTGGCAGGCTGCTGCAATCCTATTACTTCCCAGGCTGAAAGCAGGAGAATCACTAGGAGTCTGATCTGTGTAGTGAGACCCTGAAGATCTTGCACTCAATACATAAAAAAAGTATAAAAAAATAGCCTATGGAATTAACATTCTAAGAAAGTCATAGTGAAAATAAAACATATATAAGAGAATATACAGTATATCAAATCATTGTAAGTATGAATATAAATAGGGTAACTAAGAAAGGCAACAAGCTTCCTTTTTCACTACTAACGTCACATTTATACTGATGGTTAACAAATGACTCTGCTGATAGGCAATACTTGATCAGAGAACTAAGGAAGAAAATCAGAGTCATGAATACCTCAGGATAGTTTTCCAAACCAGGAAAATAACAGAAAGTACAAACACACTGAGGCAAGAGCATATAGAAATCCCTCTTATCACTGGGCATGTGTTTAAAAGCCACCCGTTTGACTACCCAAAACTACAGAGAGAACCAGGCTTTATATATGTTGTGATACACACATATTTAGCATAATGTTCAATTTATAAGTTTGGCACAGATCTACAATAATAGCATAAAGCAATGTTAGTAATACACCATAATAAAAATGTATAAATATTTTCTCTTAGTTTAACCCTATAATTTGCCATTTAATATTTCTAGACAACAACAGACTGAAGATAAATGAAACCACTGAAAGCAAAACCACAGACAAAGAAGGGCAGAGGAACTACTAACTGCTATATTCAAAGAATAGCCAAAAAATAAGAAAGTTTGTAATAAGAGGGAAAAAGGCCAATTGGGATAAAATAATATTTGGCTTTGTAGACCCTTTGAAATTCAGTTCTGACTCTCAATGAAATAAGACAGTGTAGTGTTAAGCCAAGAAATCAACACAATACAAATTAACATTTATAAAATATCATACTGGCTGGTGAATTAAAGACAGACATCAAGTGTCAAGAGTGAAAACAAAAGGCCAGTTACCAAGCAAGCACAATACCTCAGACTAAAGTATGAGTGAAAAAGAAAAGAGGGAGGGGCTTGATGATGTTGAAAAGTGATCGATGCTTTTGAAGCAGACTTAAAAGGATTGCTTGATATATTAGTATGAGACATAGAAAAAAAAAAGAGTGAAGCTAAAACCGTCTATAAGGTTTGATGAACAACTAGAAATATGGAGTAGATATTATCTGAAATATAAGCAAAGGAGATAAGCCAACACTACACTTGTGGACTGAACATATAAATTAAGAGATGGATTAATCAGCACCCAAGAGAAGTCAACAGTTGGACAAAAACCAAATCCGAAATCAGTAAAGAAGTTAACACTACAGACATAACTTTAGGAGTTTAGGCCCTAAGAGTAGATGAGATCTCCTAGGGAGTGATTTTGAACAAATCAAATCTGAGGATTGAGTCTTACAGCAATCTCTCAGTTATTGGTTGTAAGATGGTAAAAAGAGGTCAAACAGAAAATGTTATTAAGAAGACAAGTCAGGAATATAAGAGAAGAATCAAGGATAAAAGTGAAGTCTTCGGAGAAGAAATTAAGTACCAACTGTGTAAAATGTGGCAAACACATTAAAAAAAGATAAGGACTGAAAATCAACTGCTAGATTTAGCAATACTAGTCACTAATGATCTTGACAAAAGTTGTTTAAGGAGAATGGTGAGTATAAAATCTTAATCCCTAATGGGAGTGAGTAAAAACTCCTCTTCAGAGGGATTTTACTATTTAAAAAAAGAAAGAACAAGGGCCGGCCACATAGCTCAGTGGACTGCTTAGGCAAGTGCAGGGACTGGGGTTCGATCTCCAGCATGTCATGCCAGCTCCGCCCCCAGGGCGCACTGAGACAGAGATTGAGACTGGGTGTGGTGGTGCATACCTGTAACCCCAGCACTTGGAAGGCTGAAAACAGGAGCATCACTATGAGTGCAATCTGTGTGGTGAGACCCTGTAGACCCTGTACTAAATACATACAAATAAAAAGAAAAAAGAAGGTACTGTTATCCAAGGGAAAATAATCCCCCAAAAAGTTCTGTATTTTGGTTTTTTGTTTACTTGTTTTTAACATGGGAAATAAAATTTTTGTGTGTAGGCTGACAGGAATGATTTAGGACAGACAAAGATATGGTTTATAAGTAAGAGGAGGGAGAACTGCAGATCAACATCCTTTAACTACTTGATGCTTCTATTCTTTGTTTAGACTTACGAGTACAAATAATTCTTGAAAATAAATTAAAAGAGAGAACATGAGTACAGATTCAGATATATATATTGATATAATTGGTCATGGAAAGGAATAAAAGCTCTACCCTGAGCTGCTTGTTTCTTAATGGTATAGTAAGCAAGAGTATGCATCACATGAAATTGAGAATGGAAAAAGAAGGTTTGGAAGTTGAAAGATGAAAATATTTCAGGGTAATGGTATATAGTAAGTGGGCCAGGAAGACTAGCAGGCAGGACTATGAATCACTGTCAAAAATGGTGGTCAGAACTTGCATAAGACCAGCATCATTATGGTTCTGGGATT